TAATAAAGGTTTAATCTTGGGTTTTACTTTAGGGAGTAGCGATAACAAGATTTTATTGCAAAAGGGGTCATAACTCCATAGTTTAAGTTAAACGCGGGTCAACTGCAAAATTTTTACAAAGTACATTTTATACAAAAAGTTTTTTTATAAATTTGAAACTCAAAATCACCGGCAAAAAATAATAAAAAATAAGAACTAGGAGACTTATTGTTCACAGAACAATAAGAGGTCTTTCCACCTTCTTTGAATTTAAATTTTTATATTTGACTCCAAAGAATTAATTTCCATGAAAAAGAAACCAGAATTGTCTTAAAGCAAAGAAAAAATGAAAATAAAAAAAATTGGGAATGACCTTCCCTTTTGACCTTGAAAAAATATTCAAGGTCAAAGGTAAGGGGTATAACGCATTTAACCCCATGCTTCTATGACTTATAGTTTTCAAGTTATAAGGTCTAATATAATACAAAGAATTTAAAAGGGCAATAATCACAAAAGGGTATAATCCTTTTGCATTTATACAGTGAAGTTAGGCCTAAAGTTCCTTAAGACATTAGTAAAGGGTTTTGGTGTCTCTACAGTCTACAGTTTCGGAGGATAGGGATAACAAGGTTTTTCACAAAGGGGATATAATTTTTAAAAAGGGTTCATCTTGGGGGGACAAAATAAAAATCTTTGAAATAGTTTTAAAGTGCATTTTAATGATGCACAAAGATAATATAAGTTAAAAAAATTTAAAAATAGCTTAATTTCTATTTTGTAATGACCTTGACCTTTGACCTTTACATAAATTTTAAATAAAATAATAATTGATGCAGTTGGTCCCATGTCTTACACTTTCGTTTTGAAAATTTTTAATTATTTGAAAATTCAAAAAATTTCAGGGGCAAAACCAATAAGGGTTATAAACCTTTGAATGAATAATTAAAATCCTCTCAAATAAAAGACTTAGTGAAAGGGTTTTATACCCATACGGTTTACAGTTTCGGAGGATAGCATAAAAGCATTTTTCAAAGGGTATAACTTCAAAAATAAATTAAAATTCTTGGGTGTTTTTGGAAAAACTTTAAATATCCAATATCATGAACTTTAAAGTTTTCCAATAAGTTTCGGTTTCAAAAGTCCCGGGAGAAAAAGAAAAAAAAACATAAGCATTTCAATAGGTCTTTCCAAAGAAAGGTGGAAAGACCTAAAAAGAAGAAACAGAGAAAATTTAATAGGTTTTCCAGAGAAAGCTAAAAAACCCAAAAAAAAAAAAGAATAATAAACAGAAGAATTTCAATAGGTTTTCCCCAGAAAGGTGGAAAACCTAATTATAATTTATAATTTTCAGGACTAAAAATGGATTGGGGGAAATTGAACTTCTACATGTAAAAAGTTTTATCCGTCTCTTTTCTATTTTCTAATTTAAAAAAGTTCAAACGGAACGATTTTGTGCCTATTTTGTATCATCTATTTAAAAATATCACAGTTAAGAACTTGTTTTCATAAGAATTATTCATACTACAATCGTTTATTGAATTGTTCAATATACTAATTCATATACTAATAGTTAACATCCTATTAAATAGAAAAATGCTTATATATTACTTGTTAAGGCTTAAAATTCATTAACTTTGATCAAAATTCCCAATAACAATTAAAATATATCCTGGCTAAAGTGCTAGCATTATTGGTACAATGTACATACCGTTGACAGATATAGAGTACAATATATTAAGTACAATGTTACTTGTAATAATAACAAGAAAACTGAAAATAAAAGAAATATCAAGCATACAGATGGAATATATAGCTTGGAAATTTGGAAATTAATCCCTTTCGTACATAGATCCATTAAAGATTTGACTTTACTCCTTTTCATATTGATTTTATCAAAAATATCCCTCCAAATGAAATAAGTGTATCTTAGAATTTAATTTTAGATAGAATTAAGGACAACTATTTTTTATTGTTAGAATGTCCGCCTGGGTCATTTGGGGAAAACTGTTCAGAAGAGTGTCCATCGGGATTTATGGTCACTTTTGTGAGGAAAAATGCACATGTGATGACAACTGTGATAAGGAAAATGGCTGTGTTCAAACAACAAATGAGACAGGTATAATTCTTTTTTTTCATATACGAGATTTGTTAGAAAAGTTCGCGGACACATTGAATTACAGAAAATCTATTGTGTACTGTGATGTATGACTTATGCCTGAATAAATTCCTACATTTTGTTTATTAGTATGTAAAAAATCAGGTCCATTTACTAAAATCTTGAAAATTTACAACAATTTTTACTATGAGGTCATGGGATTCACGGAGCAATCACTTGACGTAAGGCGACGTGACAACCAGATTTCAACCCGTTAAGCTTTGTCCAGTTCTAGAAATCTTTCATTTCTTCATATTTTTCTTATCTTTTTTTCTACTCAATAATTGAATATCTATATCAAGACATGTTACTTTTCTATTATAATGTATTTTGTACTGGTTCATATATTATTGAGATCTTTCAAAAAGTCTATCCACTTAATCGATCAGGAATGGAAACTATGCAAAACCATATAGGCACAACGTCTATGCGATAAGGGGGGTAATAGAGTATCGATGGAGTCAATCATTCAAAATGTTAATCCTTCCATTCTTATAACCCCTGCGAGACGATCATGAATAATTCATGAATTTCCTTGAATTTTTCATGAATTTTATTCATGAAATGTTCATGAAATGTTCATGAAGATCCTATGAACTTATTATTGGACATTTTCAAATCATGAATTTTTATTCATGAACGAAAATTGATGAATATTCATGAATATTTTTTTTCATGAATAATTCATGAAGAGTCATATTCATGAAGATTCATCATTTCAAGAATGTCCAATAATAAGTTCATTGCATCTTCATGAACTATTCATGAATAATTTGATGAATTTTTTTAGGAATGTTCATGAATGAATAAAATTCATGAACCATTAGCATTCATGAATATTCTTGCTTATTTGTAAACAAAAAATGCAATATTATTATTCATGTTTATTCATGAAAATGCATGAAGTCATGCTAAAAAAGTAACAGTAGATGATTTATAATACAGCATCTTGAAAGATTTCACAGAAATGTTGTTTGTTTTCCAACCATGGCAACAAAGTCTTTGTTAAAAAACTTAAAATAGACAATTCTGACACATTAAACCATAGTAAATGAGTAATGTAGTTCATTCCTGGTAAAAGTATAACAAATTTCAATTCAAATGCAACTCTTTGCAGAATGTTTAACCTTACTTGGTCAAAAGGAGAGGGGGATTCTTCCTCAGCATGTTTCAAATTGTGTTTTAATGCCAGAAATTGAACAGTTTTTAATTCCAGTCTAGGAGAAAACTTTGTTCAGCACCAGGGTAACAGTTTTCAGTGCTTTCAAGCAGTTTGAGCAGAGATGGTCAATTCAAAAATCCTTATTGTCTCTCCATGTGGAATTTCCAGAATTTCATCATTTGGATCCTTTGATTGAATATCATTCATATTTTCATTTCTTTTTTTTCTTTCTTTTTCAAGAGCTCAAATTTTTGTGCAGCCAGAGTTTCTTGTCTTCTGCTCATCAACATTTGTGAACTGCTACTCTTTATCCCTCAAAAAGAAAGATTTTCTGAAAGTACCCATGATTGTAAAACAAGACTTTTTTGTATTTTCTTGCACTTTAGTTTCATTTAATTTTGCATCAGAGACACTTCCAAATTAAAACATTCTGAGTGGAATTTAAGCCTATTTTCTTGGACCGCCATTTTGTAGATCAATCAGGCCTATGAATGTTGAGTCCCAGTCTATAATTAATGTGTGTTATATGGTTGGATCCAAACTCAAAGCAAAGTTAGACAAAAATTGCATTAAAAAAAGAGACATATTAATTTATCATAATGTGCTTTAATTAGTTGTTATTTTACAAATAGACAGTAACATTTACAGACAGATTTCTGACTCAGTGATTGCCTCCATTTTTTGTCACTCACCAGTTATGAAGTAGATCGATCCTGTATATCGTCTTCCTTCTTCATATTCTGTTATTTTCTTAAAAAGTTGACAAAGATCAGTGACTGTACTGTTTATTGGACACACCTTGTGAGAGGGTGAAAAACTACAAATTACAAAAGCATAATAAGAATTTGACAAAATATCAAAATCATAAGCAATCATACAAAATTAAATGCGTAACTTTAACGTGAGCTGAACTGGCCTATGCCTATCGCATGCTGGAAATGCGCGGTTTTACAAAACATTGTAGTACTGTTGCAGAATTTAAACATGATAAAATATATTGCATAATACTGTTAGATACAGATGATCAAGTTAGATATAAATTCAAGTAAAACAATATAAAACTTACTCCTTAGGGAGGCCAACATCACCAAACTTCACAGCCAAAACGCCAGGCAAACCGCATGGCTACCATAATTAGTATAAACAGAATATTGAACCCGATCGAAATAAAATTATGCAATATGAAAACGGCACAGTGACTATGCAAATAATAGATCACAAATACTGATTCTTCCACTCTACAAATTCACACTTCCAACGTCTCGCGCGTTTTAAAGTTTGCGCCTATTCAAAAATGTAAGGTAGAGCTAAGAAATACGTTAGTTTCGAATTTCCAAGATTTCTGTTTAAAAAAAATTACAAACACTATCTGAATAATTTTTCACTGAAAATACAATTTTTTATATCAAAATAAGTTTTATCAATGAAGAATTCGAATTTTTTACGTCATAAATTATACATGTATTGACTTTTAGTAGGGTCCTCTGGAACGCCGGGGGACGGCGCGTACTTTGGACTTGCACAAAGTACGTGCTGTGTTATCGCGGTCTGATAAGAACGCAGTAGAAATGTAGTATTATCGCCGTAGATCTCCAACAACGCAGTGAGAACCCCAACCAATCGCCGTGAAGACGCGCATGATCGCAGGACGAACGCAGTGATAGTAGACTGCGCTTCATCGGAGACCTAGTGGAGTCCTTGGAGATGTAACTGCGTTCCTATCAAGCTTTTACGGCGCTTCTAATGAGATTGACCGCCTTGTGATTGAAAACAGTTTTCAATAATACATTTATCAATAATTTAGTACATAATTTAGTACTCAAATAATAGTAGATCATTTTTAATTAAAGAATATTTCTTGGCATAAGTAGAAATCTTTTCATCATGTAACAAATGTCACAACGTAATGTAACAAAATGTGATACATTTCTTCTGAATATATCCATAGAGAGGAACGCATTGTGATTGTCTCGTAAACGTAGCCAGAGCAGTAAGAATGCTGTTAACGCGAGATGACAACCCCTAACACGTGAAGCGCAGTCAATCGCCAAGAGATCTCAGTGGAAACGCGCAGAAGCATGCCGCGAGAACGCCGTAGAAACGCGTCGGTCGTTGAAGGGACGCTGTGACATCGCATTTTGAAAATTTCATAGAAAATTGTGCACTTTCCCTGCGATTCTACGACGATTTTATAAATTAAACAACGTCGCAATTTAATTGTGTGGAAGCAGCTTGAGGTGACAGGGCCCTAATTAAATCTACTTTTAAAGTTTTTTGTTAACATTATTTTGATCAGAGACGCTGCACTCCAATGATAGGGAGTTACAGATAACAACAGGTAATATAAAAAATTATGTTTTCATGTTAAATATCCTTTTTTCTTTAAGAAAAGGGGGGAGGACAAGCAGATTTCATGTTCTGGAAATTAATTAATCTTTTCTGAGACGATCCCTTTTTTCTTTAAGAAAAAGGGGGAGGACAAGCAGATTTCATGTTCTGCAAATTAATTAATCTTTTCTGAAACGATTATATTGTGTATAATAAGCATTTATTTGTATAATGGTTATATAGACTAATGAAAAAGTAATTGAAATATGTATTTTATCTTAGAAAAAGGTTAGATAGAGTTCACATTTTACTTTAATTTCAGAGTTGCCTGACTGTCAAGAGAAAACTCCATGCCTTCCGTTCTACCCCACAATAGTATACATGGTAGTGGCAATATCAGTGGAAGCAATAGTCATCTGCATGCTGATTGGAACAACTATCTTATTTGCCAGGTGAGAAATATAGGTATATAAATATAAAAACCATACAAAAAAATGAATTATATGAAAAATATGGAGATTAAGAACGGTATCCAAGCTCATAAATCGATTCAAACAAGACAAACCACGAGCAAACGCGAACCTCTAAAACATCTGAGGTTGGATTAAGTAAAATAGAGGTGTGAGCATTACCTTCCCATCATTCATTCTTTTAGTGAATCATTTTCAGTAAAATACCCGGATATTTATGACATTAAAATACAAAATAGAATCAAACAAATTTCTATAACAGCATTTGTTGTCTGACACTTGTAACTACAAGTTATTACCTTTGTAATGTAGACTGTTTGGTATTCAATAGGTCAAGGGCACACAGTTGGAGCTTATATTCTTGTCCTCTTCCGGCAAATACTATATCTCTGGAAACACAACAAGAGGACGATTATACCTTATTACCGGATAGAGTTCAACTTCCTTCCTGCGTAATGAATGAAAGATAATTAAAAAATATCAACATTTTACTCAACAATGGCAAGAATACGAGGGTCATTCAAAAATTACATAGACAATGTTCTGCATCGTCATATTATTATTACAAAATTATAGATCAAAACATTTTCGTAAATTAAAACATTTATTTTGTCGAAATGTGAAGTTTCATTCAGTTTGATTTAATAGAACTCATAATAGCCAATTTTTAAAGCAACAAGTTTTGTTACCACGGAGCATGGCTAACCATCATTGTAACGTCAAAAACAACGTCTAGAAAGTTTCTCAAAATTACTCTGGCCTTGAATTTCGTTCACGGTATTAAGCGTCTTCTCCGTTCATATAATGTATCAATAACACTTGAAACCTAGTGTGCCAACAATTGTGCAAATAACTTGAGCTAGATTGCCAGTCTTTTCAAATTCATTACCGCGTTACTCAATTAGTTCCGCAACACTGAAAGTTGCATCACATTAATGACGTTCATAACTCTTTTGACAATTTCTAACTATAACCTGTTTCTTTGCAGACCTGGTGCATCGTCCGATTTATACTTGCTACCACTAAAAAACTTTATTTTCCATTTTATACAAAAAGACGACTTATTTTTTTATACATTTCCTGGTTTATACAGAATTTTTTTAAGTTTGCTAAATAAGTTTCCCGAATGCCAAGGAAATATCCTCGCTGTTCCGTAAAGTCCTCAACGTCAAGGTTTTTGCTTTAATGAAGTCCATATGTCTTAAAAAACTGATTTCTTTTAAACAGAGCGATGTAGTAAATTACTTGATAGTATCTCAAGTAATACAGCAAGACTTACTTTCAACATGTAAATTGTATGTCTCGTTTCAGCTCCATTTATTAGAGGTATGGCTCAAGATACTATTAAGTAAAAATTAGTAGATTACTCAATTTTGACGTTGCGTCGTGACCGCATTTTTACAGTTCTAAGTCTTTAATAATTTTTAGGAATCTGAAGATATATTCCATATTTTTACTCAAATTATTTGAATTTGTTGTTAAAATATGTGTACAAAATTGGGAAATAATTTGACTTCATATAATAAAGTTAGAACAAAAGTCTACGAACTTACTGAATGACCTTCGTAACTTTGCAACAAAATGAAAAAAAAAATTAAAAAAAATTTATTGTATTGGGCCAGATGATATAAATAAATAAATGCCAAGATCATAAAATATTTTTTTTTATTTATTTTGGTTGTAAATGACACCAATAATAAATATACAGAATGTATATAAAGAAATTAGAAACTTTATATGATTTGTTACAGGCCTCTAGACTATAAACTGAGAACAAACTCAATTAAAAATTTTGATTTTGAATAGGATGTGAATTATAATAAAATGTTGTTGATATTTGCAGTTTTGTATAATATTCCAAATAAACATATGATAAAAACTCTATTTCGCTATAAAAATTATTTAAGGGTCCTCCACACACCCACAGGTTATGCTCTCATATTATTGAGCATTACTTTTTACAAGCATATCAACCTTTAAAAACTGTCCAGGGATTAAAATGTAATTTATACTGATTTTTTAAAATAATTATTTCACAAGTTATAAGAAATTTTTCAAAGAGCATTTTCATACCTAGCACAACAAACTTTGTCTTATCCTTTCGTATATTATTAAGCTCACAGAATAAGCATCAAAATTTATTTTTATCTCTCAACATATTTTTTACAGAAATTTATTTTATTTATAAAAAGTACACAAAACTCATTTTCTCTGAAATACATTTCGAGAAAAATCAATAAGGACTCTTTTTGTGGGGAAAAACATTAATGAATTAGATTACATAAAAAAATTGAATTAAAATTAAATGCACTGATGTAGAATAAACATTTTCAAAATCTTTGGTATCAAAGTTCCTTTTTGGAGTTATCTTTCCTGTTGCCCGGGACTCAAAAACTTTGGCAAGTCTCCGCATACGTCACCATACTATATTTAGTAATTACTGGCCACTGAACTGGACAAATATAACAGAAGAAAACTAGAAACACACACTATTTTATTAATATTTATAAACAGCAATGAGATAATGTATTATTGAAACGCACAAATTAGTGTGCCGAAATTTCAACTATCAAAACAGACTCTGTTGATTAGCCTGAAAGTATGAATAACCTAAACGTTTCATACGTTCATACCGGTACCTGTTGTTTACGAATTATTATGTAAGATAATCCAAGACGTCTGTTGTTCTTTTATTTAACAAAAAACCGCACATCCTTTTCCATCGGTCACTCCGTGATCATGCCATGTGTTCATTGTTTACAAACGGTATTAGGTTAAATCGTTCTTACAGAAACTCGATTGAACCGGAAGTAAAAGTATTTTTTCTCTATATACGTCACAAGTCACATGGTGTGGAGGACCCTTAAAGAGTTATATTGATTTGAATTTTTTAACTTAAAGCTGACATGAATTCTTAAAAACGCAACATTTTCATCTATGTACGACTTGTTTCATACCAACTGTAGCCGTATTCCGCCATATTTCTTTCAGATACCTTGTCTCATTGTAACGATGTATACCCCAATGAGCTCGTTACACTTGAATGATTTTTTGGATTGGGTATCGACTTGTGCACATCTCCGATGGTAAAGCATATGAGAACACGTGAGGTGATCAAGACATTTCAAAAACAAAATAAACAACATAATAATCATATTTTTGAATGATTATTGATTTGAATCAAAAGAAAAAAATGCAAGTTTGGAAGAGAAATTTAGATGCATGAGTAAGTATTTTTACAGTGCGCCAATTTATGCAGAATAAACTTGAAATAAAAAGCAGTAAAATTTGCAAACACAACTTATGATTTGAACTATATCATTTGAATGGAACAAAACAACCAACGTCTTTGATTTGCAGGTCCTATGCAATTGATGCATATCGAGAAAACGCCTCGAACGCTGTAAACGTACCCATACCTGGTAATACGGTTACTGCATCGGTTCGAAGA